CGGCAGCATCTCGTTGGCCTGCAGCACGTTGAGAATGGCGGCCAGCACACCGTCCTGCGGCATGGCGTGCGGCACCAGCCCGTGAAGATAGTAGGACACGGTGAACCGATTCATGTACCCGGGGACCACCGCGACAATCGGTTCCCAGCCGAAGATGAAGACCAGCCCGGTCAGCAACGGCCGCTTGAACCACGCGCCAACCAGCGCGAACACCGCGCCGTAGACGGCCAGCCCGACCGCAAGCAGGGCCAGATCGGTCACAAGCTGCGGAAAGTTCGCGCCGACGCTTCCACCGAGGAGCGGCACCACCAGAAAGAAGACCAGCATCACCGATGGCAGGACCACCAGACCGGTGCTCGCAAGATAGGCGACGTATTTTCCGAACAGCACGGCTCCCCGCGAGATCGGACGTGTGAACAGGTAGGTGATCGTCTTGTCCTCGACCTCGTCGGCAATCAGGGCGGTGCCATAGAACACGCCCAGGAGCGGCACCGAGAAACTCAGGTAGAAGGCGCCCCAGATCATCAAACCGAAGATAATCGGACCATCGACCATCGTCGGCCGTCCGTCGATCATTCCGCTGGTCGGGAACGAATCCAACGCGACGAGCAGACGGATGAGCACCGCCACGACCACCGGTCCGCCGACGACGAGCGCCATGAAGACCGTCCGCCGCGACCAGAGCATCTGGTTCAGCGACAGGTCGTAGATCCGCCACGCGGAACGGAGGAACGATGGCGCGGGCCGCCGGGACCCGGTCACGGGAGTGGACATGCGCTGCCTCGAACGTCCGGCTACTTCACGAGATAATCGAACACGGCCTGCAAATTGTCGTCCGGCGAGCTGACCTCGAGCACCTCGCCCAGTTCGCCGCTCGCGGCCACCGCGGTCAGGCGGCCGTAGAACGTGTCCGGTCTGTCCGTTTCCACCAGCACCACCCCGTCTTCGAAGTGCAGGCTCCGCAGCCCGTCGTGGTCCAGTATCCCTTGCGCCAACCCACGGGGATTGCTGGCGCGAATCCTGATCTTGTGCGGATGCTCGTCGATGAGATCGCGAATGGTGTGGATGTTGCCCTCGGCCAGGATACGGCCGTTGTTGATGAGCAGAATGGTCGACGTCATCGCCTCGATCTCGTGCAGGATATGGCTCGACACCAGCACGCTCTTGCCGGCCGTCGCCCAGTCCTTGATCAACCGAATCACCTTGCGGCGGGCGATTGGATCCATGCCGGCCAGCGGCTCGTCGAGCACGAGCAGCTCCGGATCGTGCACGACCGCCTGCGCCAGTTTCACTCGCTGGCGCATCCCCTTGCTGTAGGCGCCGATTTTCTTGTCGGCTGCCTCCAGCAGGTCGACGGTCTCCAGCGCCGCGCGGGCCGCCTCCGTCGCCTCGGTCTCCGACACGCCGTGCAGGCGGACCAGCGCCGTCACCCACTGGAGGCCGGTCATCCGTTCGTAGAACGAATCCTGCTCGGGACAGAAACCGACGCAAAAGAACAGATTCGGGTTCTTCCAGACCGACTCGCCGAGCACGCGGACGGCGCCCTTGCTGGGCTTCAACTGTCCGGTGATCAGCTTCAGGAAGGTGGACTTGCCGGCGCCGTTCGGTCCGAGCAGCCCGGTCACGCCCGGCCGGGCCTCGACCGACACGTCGTTGAGGCCGATGACCTGACCGTACCATTTCGACAGGTGATCGGCCGCCACGACTGCGGCGCTCACGTCACCACCACCCCGCCTCCACCCCGCGCACCCGCGTTCGAGCACGAACACCGACACCCCCAGCAGGACGACGACGGCCAACCCGGAGAGCAGCCAGGGCGACTCGTATCTCGGCGGCAACCGGAAGATGACGTCCGCAAGCTGATCCAGGTTGGCCCGGAACGAGAGCCACGCGAGCACCGAGCTGTTGGAGATGCCGCGCAGCACCTCGAACAGCACCGCCGTGAAGAGCACCGCGCCGGCGTACAGCATCGCGGTGTAACGCGCGCTGGTCGACAGCGACGACAGGGCGAGCATCACGAAGGACGACAGCAGCACCTCGATCAGCGCATAGAGCGTGATGGCCGGTATCAGAAACAGGTTCGCACCGAGGAACGCCAGGCTGGCCGAGAACATCACCTCCAGCAGGAGCAGGGCCAGCGCCGGAACCAGTGTCACCAGCAGCAGGAAGAACAGCAGGATCCCCAGCTTGCCCGCCACATACTCCTTGCGGGTCAGCGGCTTCGACAAGTAGATCTGCAGGGCGTTCGATCGGCGATCGTTGGCGATGAGGCCTGACCCCACATAGACCGTGACAAACAGCACGAAGGTCTCCTGCATCTCGAAGAACTGCCGGAACGTGGCGGCCGACGGCGACAGGATGTCCAGCGTGGGAAAGTTGGCCGACAGGTAGAACATGACCGCGCGGACAAAGAACTGCCCCCAGGCCGCGAGCAGCACCAGCAGGAACAGCTTGCGGCTCAGCGCGGCGCGGATGCCGGTCCTGGCGATGACGAGCCAGGCGGCGCCCGGCGCCTCGCGGGTTCCGGCGAAACGCCGGTAGCTCTGGTCATGGATGGGGCACTCGCGGACACCTCAGGTGATGAACACGTCACACGTCTCCGATCGCCTCGGAGAAGACGTCTTCGAGGGTCGGCACGCTGGGACGCAGATGCCGCACCTGGAGCCGGTGACGGGCCGCGACTCCGAACAGGTCGCGCGGCCCCATGCCGTCGCTCACAAAGACCCGCAGCATGTCTCCGGCGGTGCCGTGACACTCGGCGCCAATCTCCGCGAGCGCGCGGCTGAACGTATCGGCGTCACCCTTGATGCGCACGTCGTAGACCTGCCGGCGGCGCTCCTTCAGATCGGCGATCGAGCCCTGTGTCGCGATCGCGCCGTGATGCATCACGACCACGCGCGCGCAGGTCGCTTCCACGTCCGGTAACAGATGCGAGGACAGAATCAGATTCACGCCCTTGCGGGTCGCCAGATCGGTTACCAGCTCGAGCATCTCCTCCCGGGCCCTTCGGGTCCATACCGTTCGTCGGCTCGTCGAGGAACAGCAGATCCGGGTCATGGACAAGCGCCTGCGCGAGCTTGATGCGCTGCTTCATGCCGGTCGAATAGGTCTCGGTGTTGCGATAGCGCGCCTCGCCAAGCCCCACGTACTGGAGCACTTCGTGGGCGCGCTGCATCGCGTCGCCGCGGGACAGCCCCGCGAGCTGCCCGCAGTAGGCCACGAACGACACGGCGTTCATGCCCGGAATGTGTCCGTCGGATTCGGGCATGTACCCCAACCGGGCGCGGATCTGCAACGCACTCGTCGCCACGTCGAGACCGAGCACGTGCATGCGGCCGGTCGAGGGCGGGACGAACCCCAGCAGCGCCTTCAGGAGACTGCTCTTCCCCGCCCCGTTCGGCCCCAGCAGCCCTACCGCACCGGGCAGAAAGGCCACCTCCACGTTGCGCAGCACTTCGTGCCGGCCATACCGCACGGAAACCTGGTCGAGCGTGGCGACCGGCGCGGCGTCTGGACCAGGGACTGTCATCACTGTAGGGAGAATACGTGAGGGACGGCGCCGAGGTTCGACAGGGAGCGATCGACCGCGGCCCGTCGGGTCAGCCGCCGCGGAGCCGGTCCGGCGGCTACAGCGACCCCTTGAGCCCGAGCTCGGCGGCGCGCTCGCGCATGAAACTGATGACGTTCGTGATGTGCTCGTCGAGGGACAGCCCCAGTTCATCCGCTCCCCGGCTGAGATCGTCTCGCGACACCGCGCGCGCGAACGCCTTGTCCTTCATTCGTTTCCTGACTGACTTCGCCTCGAGATCGAGCACGCTGCGCGAGGGGCGCACGAGGGCGGCGGCGGTCACGAATCCCGCCATTTCATCACAAGCGAACAGCGTGTGCTCGAGGCGTGACTGCCGGGCGACTCCGGTATAGTCGGCATGTGACAGGATCGCCCGCATGACGTATTCGGGATACTCCCGCGCGCGCAGGATCTCACACCCGCGATAGGGATGATCCTCGGACGTCGGCCAGCGCTCGTAATCGAAGTCGTGCAGCAGCGCCACGATGCCCCAGCCCTCCTCATCCTCGCCGAAGCGGCGCGCATAGCCGCGCACGGCGGCCTCGACGCCCAGCGCATGATTCAGCAGGCGATCGTTCGTCGTGTACTCGGCCAGGAGGTTCCAGGCTTCGGCGCGGGTCGGGATCATGATGCCGGGTGTCTCGCAGGGGCGCCGGCGGCGACCGGGGCAAGCTGGCCCTCGCTCGCCGCCACGATGGCAGCCACCGTGACGTCGCCGGTGACGTTGGCGGCGGTCCGGGACATGTCGAGCACCCGGTCCACCCCGAGAATCAGCGCAATGCCGGCCGCCGGCACACCGATCGCCTCGAGAATGACCACCAGCATGACCACACCGGCGCTGGGTACCGCCGCCGTCCCGATCGACGCGAGCAACGCCACGAACACGATCGTGAGCTGGGCCTGCAGATCGAGCGGGATCCCCAGGGTCTGCGCGATGAATACGGCGGCCACCGCTTGATAGAGACCGGTGCCGTCCATGTTGACCGTGGCGCCGAGCGGCAGCACGAACGAGGCCACCTCCTCGGAAACGCCGAGGTTCTTGTGGGCGCACTTCATGGTGACCGGCAACGTGGCGGCGCTCGATGAGGTGGAGAATGCCACGAGCTGTGCCGGAAACACGCCTGAATAGAACTGTTTCAGGCGCAGTGGCGTGAAGACCCGCAGCAACAGCGGATATGTGACGAACATCTGCACCGCGAGACCGATCAGCACCGTCAGACAGTAGAATCCGAGCGCCCCGAGCAACTGCGGCACGTCTGCCGGGCTGTCACCCGCGACCCGCGTGATGGTGTCGGCGATCAACCCGAAGACCCCGATCGGCGCGAACAGGATGACCAGTTCGACGATCTTGATGATGACGGCGTTGAGACTCGCGAAGATTGCCAGCATCGGCGCCGCCTGGTCCTTCGGAATCAGCATCAGCGCGACCCCGAAGAGCATGGCGATGAACACGACGTTCAACATGCGCCGGTTGTCTGATCCGGCGGACACGATGTTGTCCGGCACCATGTCCACAAGCGGCTGCAGCGGGCCGCGCTGGCGGACCTCGGCGGCCGCCTCCTCGCGGGTCGCCACGTCCCCCGCGTAGGTCTCCTGCAGGCTCACCCGCACGCTGTCCGGCACCACACGGCCGGGAGTCAGCAAATTGACGAGCGTCAATCCGACGACGACCGCGACCAGGGTCGTTGCGAGATAGATCGCAATCGTCTTGCCGCCGATTCGAGACAGCTTGTTTGAGGTCGGACAGCGACGCGATACCGGTGATCAGCGACGCCAGCACCAGCGGCACCGCCACCAGCAACAGCATCCGGAAGAAGATGGCGCCGAACGGGGCAATCCAGTCGGACGTGAACTGTCCCCAGCCTGCAAGCGCCGCGACGACGCCGTAGAGGAGCCCGAGGGCCAGCGCCGTCAGGATGCGCCAGTGAGCCTGTCGGTGCCAGGGCATCAGTGCTCCAAATCGATTCGATATCCAGCGTCGCGGGCGCCGCATCGGCGCATGTCGGCGGAGCGGCGACGGTAGCACCCGGCCGTCAGAATTGTCAACGCAACTCCAGCGCCCGGGCGATGACGGCCCGCACCTGATCCGAAAGCGCGAACCGCGCGAGATCGCCAGGGTCCGCCAGCGCCACCGCGGCGGCGTCGGACCCGGACCGCACCGCGCCGCCGAGGGGATGGCACAGATAGTCCGCGAGACGTAGTGATGACGCACCCGGCCGTCGGGGTCGCGGAGAATCCGGTCGAGCAGCTCGACCAGCGGGCCGACCCGGGTGTCGATCCCGATTTCCTCGCGCAGCTCCCGCCGCAGCCCCTGCTGCAACGTTTCGCCCACCTCGACCGCCCCGCCCGGGAGACTCCACTGGCCGGCCAACGGGGGATACCGGCGCCTGATCAGGACGACCCGCCCGTCGATGAACACCACGCCGGCGACCCCTACGACAGGGCGATCGGGATACTCGCGATTCGACATGACGCCCCGGCTGCTACAGCCTCAGTGCCGCCTGCGCGTTCAGATCGAGCGGCACCGTCTCGCCTGCGCGCAAGCGCCGCAGACCCGCGGCCGCGATCATCGCGGCGTTGTCGGTGGACAGATGCAAGGTCGGAAAGAACACCTGCACGCCCCGCTCGTTGCCTTCGTTCGCCGCCAGCTCCCGCAGGCGGCTGTTGGCCGACACCCCGCCCGCAATCCCCAGGCTCGGCGCGGCGAACCGGCGCACCGCCTGGAACGCCCGCTCGAGTAGCGCATCCACGACCGCGCGCTGGAAACTCGCGCAGATGTCGGCCAGCTCTGTGTCGGTCGGGGGCGCCAGGCCGCCGCTGCGGCGGCGCAGATGACGCGCCACCGCCGTCTTCACCCCGCTGAAACTGAAATCCATGCCACCCTCGACGCGCTTCGGATACCCCGGCAGCGCCACCACCGGCGGTCCCTGGTTACGATCGGCATGGGTCATGCGGGCAATCGGGAAACGAATCGCCCGTTCATCGCCCGCGCGCGCCAGGCGGTCGATCACCGGCCCACCGGGATACGGCAATCCGAGCAGTTTGGCGACCTTGTCGAACGCTTCGCCCGCCGCGTCGTCGCGGGTCCGGCCCACAAGGCTATAGGCGCCGGGGGCCGGAAGATGGTACAGACTGGTGTGGCCGCCCGAGACGACGAGCACGATGGCCGGCAGCGGCAGGTCGGGATGACACAGGAACAGCGACTCGACGTGTCCGGCGAGATGGTGCACCGGCACGAGCGGCAAATCGAGGGCAGCCGCCAGTCCCTTGGCGAACGCGACCCCGACGAGCAGCGACCCCACCAGCCCCGGACCCTGGGTCACGGCGACCGCATCGAGGTCCGACCAGCCGACGGACCCGTCCGCCAGCGCGCGCTCGACGACACCGCAGATGTCGCGCAGATGCTGCCGCGACGCCAGTTCGGGCACCACGCCCCCCCACTCGCGGTGGATGTCCGCCTGCGACGCGATCACACTCGAACGCACCTCCCAGGAGGCCGGTCCCGTTCCGGCGTCCACCGCGACCGCCGCCGCGGTCTCGTCGCAGGAGGTCTCGATGCCGAGCAGCGTCGTCTCACTCATCACTGGTTGCCGTCGCACACGTGCTTCAGGCTCTCGGCGAACGGCGGGCGGCAGATACCGCGCTCGGTGATGATGCCAGCCACGAACGACGCCGGGGTCACGTCGAACGCCGGATTCCAGACCGCGGCGCCCTCCGGAACGAGTTGTGACGCCCCCATGTATGTCATCTCCTTCGCGTCACGCTCTTCGATCGGGATGCCTGATCCATCCGGCGTCGACAGGTCGATGGTCGAGAGCGGCGCCGCCACGTAGAACGGCACGCCATGCTCGCGGGCGAGCACCGCCACGGTGTAGGTCCCGATCTTGTTGGCCACGTCCCCGTTGGCGGCGATACGGTCGGCGCCGACCACGACGACGTCGACCATGCCGGCGCGCATCAGCGATCCCGCCATCCCGTCGGTAATGACCGTGGTGTCGATACCGTCCCGAACCAGCTCCCAGGCCGTCAGTCGCGCCCCCTGCAGAAACGGCCGTGTCTCGTCGGCGTACACGGCGACCCGTTTGCCAGCCTCCACCGCCGCCCGGATCACGCCGAGCGCCGAGCCATAGCGGCCGGTGGCCAGGGCGCCCGCATTGCAGTGGGTCAGCACGCGCGCCTCGGCCGGCACGACGCCGGCGCCATGGCGGCCGATCGCCCGACAGTTCGCGACGTCTTCGTCATGAAGGCGGACCGCCTCGGCATCGATCAGCGCCTGCAGCTCGGCGGTCGACCGCCCGACACGCATCCCGCCGGCGAACACCCGCTTCATCCGCTCGATCGCCCAGAACAGATTGACGGCGGTCGGGCGGGTCGCCGCCAGCAGGTCGCACGTCCGATAGAACTCGGTCGCCAGTTGGGTCGTGCCGGTCGCCCGGCTGCGACGGACGTCGAGCGCGACCCCCATCGCGGCCGCCACCCCGATGGCGGGCGCGCCGCGAATGACCATGGTGCGAATCGCCCTGGCGACATCCTTCGCGGTCCGGCATCGCACGTAGACTTCCTTCGACGGCAACTTCCGCTGGTCGATCATGACCACTTCGCCGTCGTCCCAGTCGATTGTCGGCAACATGCGCAGATCTCAGCTTTCCTCTCGGGCGGCCTCGCACCGCCGGCCGCCCATCATACCGAAGCGCCGCGGTGTCGGCCGCGGCTGTCGCGTTCGCCAGGCGGCCCGTGGTGCAAGTCCCACTGCAACCGACCGACGCGAGGTTCTACAACAGCATCGAGGCGATGGCGGCGTTGATGAGGGTCGCCAGAAACCCCCCGAGCAGCGCCACCGGACCCAGCCGAGCCAGGTCGGCGCGCCGCGACGGCGCGAGTCCACCGATGCCGCCCAGCAGAATACCGATCGACCCGACATTGGCGAACCCGCTCAGCGCGAACGTGGCGACCACACGCGTACGCTCGCTGACCGTGCCCAGATACGTCTCGTTGAGCTGGATGAAGGCGACAAACTCGTTGGTCGCCAGTTTGGTGCCCAGCAGGTCCGCCACCGCCGGCAGATCGGCGGACGACACGCCCAGCAGCGCCGCCACCGGCGCGAAGCACACCGCGAAGATCGCCGCCAGACTCAGGCTCGGGTGTAACAGGCCGAGCACGAAATCGAACATGGCGATAAACGCGAGAAAGGCGATCAGCATGGCGGCCACGTTGATCGCCAGCCGTGTCCCGTCCGATGCACCGGTCGCCAGCGCGTCGATGACGTTGACATGGTCGCTCTCGACCGTCATCCGTACTGTGCCGATCGTGGCCGGTGTATCCGTTTCCCGGCAGCAGGATCTTGGACAGATACAGACCGCAGGGCGCCGCCATCACACTCGTCGTCAACATCGCGACGGGGTCGGCGCCCAGGCTGATGTAGATCGCCATGACCGTGCCGGCGATCGTGGCCATGCCGCCAATCATGAGCGCCAGCAGCTCAGACTGCGTCATGCCCGCGATGTAGGGGCGGGTGACGATCGGCGCCTCGGTCTGCCCGAGGAACACGTTCGCGGCGGCCGACAGGCTCTCGGCGCCGCTCGTGCCCATGACCTTCGCCATTACGCGGGCCATGACCTTCACGACGACCTGCAGCAGCCCGAGGTGATACAGCACCGCCGAGACCGCCGACATGAAGATGAGAATCGGTAACGCCGCGAACGCCAGCACGAACCCGTTGGGGAACGCCTCTGCCATCTGCTCCTGGTCCGCCAGCACCCCGAAACACGAACTGCGACCCGGCATTGGTGAACTCCAGAAACTGCGTCACGACCGCGGCCAGGCCGGCGAAGAACTCGTAGGCGGGACGCACACCGGCGACCTCGCCTTTGAGGACCAGCCAGCCGAACCCTGCCTGCAACGCGAGGCCGCTGGCCACCATCCGCAGGTTCACCGACCGGATACGCGCCGAACAGGCCCCGGCCACCGCGAGAAACGCGACCAGCCCGGCCAACGCGCGGAGGCGGGGATCGACCGCATCGCGTAGCGCCCAGGCGCCCGCCGCGAGGACCGTCGCCAGGAGGGCGAGTCCGAGACGCAGACGCCATTCCGGCGGTACCATCGGGCGCGGCGCGGGTCCGGTCATGATGACCGGACGATCATACGCGTAACGCGACGCCGCGGACTGCCCCGCATCACAGGGGCGGCCGGCAGCCGGCGACGGGTATGATAGAAGGGCGTGACTGTACGGTCCCGCCCCCGCCGGCCGCGCCGTGCCGGCCCAGACACTCGACTCGCCGGGTCCATGACCGACACCGACCGTGCGTTGATCCTCGCGGGCACCGCGCTGGCGCTGACGCTGATCCGCCTGTCGGTGATTGCGTCGTATGCGGACCCCGGCGCACCGGCCCGCCTGATCGCGGAGTTGCGGCTCGCGCAGTTCGGCGCCCTGATGCTCACCCTGACCGGCGGTCTCTACATGGGCGTGGCGCTCGCACAGGGGGCGAGTCCTGGCAGCGGGATCGACATTGCTCTGGCCGTCGGATGTCTGGCGCTGGCTTCCGTGGCGATCACCCGCGAACCGGGCCACGCGCTCACCCTGCTGGCCATCGGGTTCGCCGGGCACGCGGTGGTCGACCTGCTCCACGGCGCGGGGCTACTGCCGTCCGACGCCCTGCCGGGGTGGTTTCCCACCGCCTGTGCGATATACGACGTCGGTGTCGCCGGAGTATGCTATCTGCCGATCGTGCGCCGCCCGTAGACGACATCGTGACACCAGCGCTCAAGGGAACGAACCATGACGGACACCGGTGAGAAGACGCTGTTGGAGATTGCACGCGCACGTCTGGTGAAACACCAGGCGGGACAGGTGCGGACCTGTCTCGAGGCGCTGAACGACGGCCAGGTCTGGTGGCGGGCCAACGCCGACTCCAACACCATCGGCAATCTGGTGCTGCACATCTGCGGCTCCACGCGCTGGTTCATCGGGCACGTCCTCGGCAACAGCGGATACACGCGGGACCGCGACGCCGAGTTCGCCGAACAGGGACCGGTTCCCAAGGAAGCGCTGTTGGCGCACCTCGATTCGGCGATGGCGGAAGCCGACCGCGTGCTGTCCGCGTTCGACCCGTCTCGACTCGGCGACACGACCGACCGCGCCGGCCAGCCGATCACCAACAGGGAGCTCCTCTTGAACCAGCTCCTGCACGTCACCTCCCATGCCGGGCAGATCGTCTTCGCCACGAAGCTCATCCAGACCGGGCTGATCCATGAGGTGTGGAAATCGACGCCAATGCGCTAGGAGGCTCCTGGCCGGCGCCGTCCGCGGGCCGCTCGCAGGCCGCACCCGACGTCCGGCCGCCTGACTCGAAATCGCCGATCGTGACCGCCCCGCACCTCTCGTCGCGCGGTACATTCGAAGCCCGAGTCTTGGCCGTCGTCAGGCGGATTCCGTACGGACGCGTGTCGACCTACGGCGACGTGGCCGAGATGGCCGGCCATCCGCGCGCCTGGCGGGCGGTCGGCGCCGTCATGCGGGCCTGCCGCGCGCCCAGCGTACCCTGTCATCGTGTCGTCGCCGTCGGCGGCCGGCTTGGGGGCTACAGCAACCCGTTGCGCAAACGACAGCTCCTGCAGGCCGAGGGGCTCAGCGTCGGACGCGACAAGATCAGGGAATTCGCCGCGGCGCGCTGGACGACGCGGCGCCGGCCGCGGTGACGCCTCACACCGTCATCACGTCGAACTGCTCGTGGTGCAGCAGGGCGTCCGGGCGCACCGTGATCTGCTTCTCGAGCGTGCGCTCGATCTCCCGCAGCACGCCCCGCTCTTCCGCGTTCAGAGCGCGAGCCACATCCGGATTGACCCGAAGCTGCACGTGGTGGCCATTGAGGTCGCCGCGAATCTTGCGGAGTTCGGCCAGAATCTCGAAACAGATCGTGGAGGTCGACTTCACCACCGCGCTGCCGGAACAATAGGGGCAGGGTTCAGTGAGCTGACGCTCCAGGCTCTGCTTGACCCGCTTGCGGGTCGTGATGATGAGCCCGAACTCGGTCACCTGTACCGCCTTCGACGGCGCGCGATCGCGCCGGATCTCCTGCTCGAACGCCTGGTAGACCTTCTGGCGGTTCTTGCGCTCCTCCATGTCGATGAAGTCCAGCACGATGATGCCGCCGAGATCGCGCAACCGAACCTGACGCACGATCTCTGTGACCGCTTCCAGATTGGTCTTGACGATGGTGTCCTCGAGCCCGCCGCTGCGTTTGCCGACATACCGTCCGGTGTTCACGTCGATCGCCACCAGCGCCTCGGTCTGGTTGATTACGATGTAGCCTCCCGATTTCAGCCACACCTTGCTGCGTAGACCCTTGTCGATCTCCGCCTGCACACCGTATTCCTCGAAGATCGGGAACTCCTTGTCGTAGCGCTGCACACGCGACACCAAGTGCGGCATGATGCGCTGCACCAGCTTCACCGCCTTCTGGTATTCGCTGGCATCGTCGATTCGAATGGTCGAGAAGTCGTCGGTCAGCAGATCGCGCAGCAGCGTGGCGACCAGGCTCTCCTCGCGATGAATCACTGCCGGAGCGCGCCGGGTCTCGCTCTTCTGCTGCGTCTCGGTCCACAACTCGTGAAAGTAGGACAGGTCGCCGATTATGTCTTCGTCCGGGCGGTCGGCCGCCGCCGTGCGCACGATGACACCGCCGGGCATGCCGTGTTCGGTACGGAACTCGCGGACGACTCGCCGCAGGCGGGCGCGCTGCTCCCGCGATGCGATCTTGCGGGATACGCCGATGTGATCGACGGTCGGCATGAAGACCAGAAACCGACCCGGAATCGTCACATGGCAGGTAATGCGCGCGCCCTTGGTGCCCAGCGGCTCTTTCACCACCTGCACCACGATCTCCTGACCGGCGGTCAGCAGCTTGTCGATCGGCTGGTCCGAGTGATTGCGGTCACGCCCCCGGCCGCGCCCCGCGCCGGAACCGGCGGTCCCGGCGCCGCCCTGACCGTTGCCGCCGGAGGCGTCCTCCGACTCGGTGTCGCCGTCACGATCGAGTTCCGAGGCATCGAGGCCGCTCATCGACGCCATCGGGTCGATGACGTCGGACACGTAGAGAAAGCCCTCGCGCTCGAGCCCCAGATTGACGAAGGCCGCCTGCATACCGGGCAGAACCTTCGACACGCGCCCCTTGTAGATGTTGCCGGCAACGCCACGCGACTGATCGCGTTCGACGAAGACTTCGACGACCTGGTCGTCTTCGAGGATGGCGGCCATCGTTTCGTGACCGCTCGTGGAGATGATCATCTCCTTGTTCATCGATACAGCTCCAAGTGTGGAAACGTCGCGCAGTCCCGACACCGCCCGGCAGACCGGCCCGCACCCGGACACCCGCCACGCCACCGGCGTGGACGAGCATCAACGGTGTCATCGGACCCCAGAGGGTGGTCATCGGTACTTCTGCCCGTTCCCGTGCCGGCAGCGCGCCGGCGTGTGTGCGTGGTCAGCCTGACGTCGTGGTCCCAGGCATCCCACATGCCTCAGTTCGTGAATCTGCGCATCCTCACGTTGAGAATGAGTCCAAATGCCGCCAGCGTGGCGATGATGGAGGAACCGCCATAGCTCATGAGCGGTAAGGTGAGTCCCTTGACCGGCGCGAACCCCGCCGACATGGCGATGTTGTAGATGACCTGGAACGAGAACCCCGACATGATTCCGACCACCACGTAGGTGCCCAGGCGATCCTTGGCCAGGCGGGCGACGTCGAGCCCACGCAGGATGACGAACAGATACAGCCCGAGCGCGACCACCACGCCCAGGAACCCTTGTTCCTCGGCATACGCCGAGAAGATGAAATCGTTGTGCGCGACCGGCAGAAAGTTGTACTGACTCTGGGTCCCCTGCAGGAACCCTTTCCCGAGCGTTCCGCCCGATCCGACCGTGATCTGGGCCTGAATCTGCTGGTACCCGGCGCCGCGCGCATCCTGCGACGGGTCCAGGAAACTCGAGATGCGCTGCCGTTGGTAGTCCTCCAGCCCATAGGTCCAGACCACAGGCGCGCTCAGGACGGCCACCACCGCCAGCGCCGCGATATACCGCAGCGGCAGCCCGGCCAATATCAGAATCCCGAAACAGACGGGCAACAGCGTGACCGCGGTCCCGAGATCCGGCTGCTGGAAAATCAGCAGGAAGGGCAACCCGACGATCAGCACCAGCATCGCCCACTGGCTGGAGTCCGTGTCCCGATCCCGCGGCCGGTGAACAACGTGGCCAATGCCAGCGCCACCACGATACGGCCGAATTCCGACGGCTGCAGGGTCAACGGACCGACACCGATCCAGCGACGGGCGCCGCCGCCCACAATCCCGAACAGCAGCGCGTAGACCAGCAGCGCCAGGAACCCAAGGAAGATCCACAACGTCGAGTTGGAAAACCGGCGGTAGTCGACCGTGAGCGTCACGAGGAACGCCAGCACCCCGATGCCCAGCGCCCAGATCTGCCTCGACACCTGCGGCCCGGCCAATCCGGTGACCGGGTCATAGGTGGCGCTGTACGTCATCGTGATCCCGATCGCGCACAACAGCACGATGGCGACCACCATCGGCCAGTCGACGTGACGATACAGTCGGTTTTCCAGCATCGTGCCTGCACGCCTTCAGGGAACCGCCGTCAGCGGTGGTGCGGACCGCGAGAATTCGGCCTGCAACGGCTGCTCCGCTGGAAAACGGCCATCCTGTTTGGCAAAGTAGGTCTCCAGCACGTGCTTGGCGATCGGCGCGCTCAGATACCCGTGCTCGTTGTGTTCGCCGAAGACGACACCGGCAATCTCCGGCGCCCGGGCCGGCGCGGCAAACACGAACCAGCCGTGGTCCCGAAAGTCGAGGTCGGTGTCTCCGGCCGCTGCTCGGCCCTCCAGCGAGATGACTTGGGCGGTGCCGGTCTTGCCCATGACGTCTCTCCCCTCGATGCGTCCCCGGCCGCCCGTGCCGGCCCGGTTGACCACGTTCCACAGGCCGTCGACCCACGGCACGCAGTTTGACGGGGTTGAGCGCCACCCGCGCCTGCGGCGCCGGACGCGGCGCGGGGACCCACCCGTTGCCGTCGTTGACCGCCTTCAACAGATGCGGCGTCACCCGCGTGCCTCCGTTCGCCACCGTCGCCATCATGACCGCGAGCGAGAGCGGCGTGACCGACACGGGTCCCTGGCCAATCGCTACCGAGATCGTCTCTCCGGGATACCACGGTTCGCCGCGCGCCTCTCGTTTCCAGGCCGTCGACGGCATGAGGCCCCGCACCTCGTGCGGGAGATCGATCCCGCTCAACTCCCCCAGTCCCAACGCGGTCGACCATTTGTGAATCTGGTCGATCTCCATCTTCTGGCCAAGCGTATAGAAATAGGTGTTGCACGACTTCTCGATCGCCTCGCGCATGGCGACGGTGCCGTGGGTCGTATGACATTGGTAGCGTCGCCCATAGAACGTCCCGCCCCCCCGGCAGGTCACGCTGAAGTCGGGCGTAACGACACCCTCTTCGAGCGCCGCCACCGCCATTGCGATCTTGAACGTCGACCCGGGGGAATACCGTCCCTGAAGCGCCCGGTTGTTGAGCGGCCGGCGCTCGTCCTGATTGAGGGCTGACCAGCTCTCCTCATCGATTCCGACCGCGAACGCGTTGGGGTCGTAGGCGGGCAGGCTGACCAGGGCCAGGATCTCACCGGACCTGGGATCGAGCACGACCGCCGCACCATCGAAGCCGGCCGCCGCGAATGCATCCTCGGCCGCCTTCTGCAGGTCGAAATCGAGCGTCAACTGCAGGTGCCGGCCTTCGCCGGGAGCGATCTCGTTGATGGTCTCGATCTCACGGCCCACGCTGTCGACCACTACGTGCCGCGCGCCGTTGATCCCCATGAGCAACCGGGTTGTAGATGCGTTCTATACCCGACTTGCCGACCACGGCGCCGACAGGGACATCCTTGAACTCCTGGATCGCCAACTGTGCGTCGCTGACCTCTCCGACATATCCAAAGAGATGCGCCGCGACCGTGGAGGCCGGGTAGTGGCGGGTGGTCTGCTGTTGCACGAGCAGTCCGGGCAGCTCGACCGCATGGGCCGCCACGGCCGCCACCTGCCCGAGCGTCGCGTCGGCGATCAGCACAATGGGACGATACACCGAGTCTCTGCGATGCCGCTCGACCACCGACCGGAGGTCGACCGCCGCAACCCCGGACAGCTCCGCCAGCAGGGCGATGGTCTGGTCGAGATCCTCGACCCGATCGCGCGCCACCGAGATGTTCAGCGAGTTCCGGTTCTGGACCAGCACCCGGCCGTCGCGGTCGACGACGTACCCCCGGGGCGCGCTCAACTCGATGATGCGCTGGTGATTGTTCTCTGCCCGCTGGCGATACTCTTCGTGATGCACCACCTGGAGACGCCAGAACCCGACCGTGAGCGCCAGCATGGCGAACACCGCGGCATACCGCAGCAGCGCGAGCGGCAACGCGAAGCTGTCGGGTGCATTGCCCGTGCCGGCGATCTCCAACTCCTGTTTCATGTCAGTCCTTGGAAAAACCCGGCGTTACACCGAGAACTGGTCGAAAAATTGCCGTGGGCCTTTTACCACGGGTTGATACAGCTATCCGCCGAATCGCATGACGCTGCGGCGACGTTTCCGGCGGCGCGCCAGCGCCTGTGGCACCATCCGCACCGTCAGGGCCAGGGCGAGACCGACCGCTGCGTTGACCGCGGCCTGGTTCAGGATGTCGAGGTAGGAGATCGTCACGGCGTCGCTGGGCAGCAGGCGGTAGATGCCGACGAACACCCCGGCATGCACCAGCGACGCGAGAAAGTACGTCAGCACCTGATGCCAGGACCGCGTGACCAGGAACTGCAAGCCGAACTGGCCGACCAGATATCCGACCAGCGTCTTGGCCAGTGCCCCGACGCCGACCACACCGCCGGACAGTGTGTCCTGCACCAACCCGCCCACAGTGCCGGCCCACAGCCCGGCAAGGGGGCCCCGGGCCACCGCCACCGCTATCACGACCACCAGCACCAGGTCGACGGGCACCTCGGCCCCCGCGACCATCGGAGCCAGCGTCGTTTGCAGCGCCAGGGCCACGCCAAGCCCCAACCCGACCCAGACCACCTTCATTTGCCACCGGACGCCTGCTTCGAAGCCGTGGGCTCATGCACGATGACGAGCACGTCTTCGAGATAATCGAACTCCACCCGCGGCCGGACGTGGATGGCCAGATACAGTCCGGACCCGCGCTCGACTTCCTCTACATCGCCGATGACGAACCCCTTGGGGTAGATTCCTTCGGTCCCCGAGGTCACCACGACGTCCCCGGGCACGACGTCTTCGAGAAACGCGACGAAGTCCATCAGCAACCGGGTCCCACCGGTGTCTCCCTTGACGATACCCGGGACGCGGGTCCGCTCGATGAGCGCACCAGCCGCGGCGCTGCGGTCGACCAGCAACTGCACTTTCGCGGACCGCGGACCCGGATCGCTCACGACGCGTCCGACGACCCCGGCGGGCGAGACCACTGCAGAATCGCGACGTACGCCGTCGCCGCTGCCGAGATTGATGGTCACGGTCCGGAAATAGGGTGTCGCGTCATGGGCGATCACACGCGCGGTTACGGTGGAATACAGGAGGTCGCGGCGCAGACCGAGCAGTTCCTCAAGCTGCGAGACCCGCTGCGCGACCGCCCGCTCGCGCTGCAACCGAAGCTGCAGATCAGCCAGATCCTTCCGCAGGGCCTCGTTCTCGACCTGCACCGATTGAAGCGCGAGGTAGCCGTCCCACAATCCGACCAGTCCATCCACGGCTCCGGTCACCGCCCGCTGAATCTCCGAGTATGCCGTGAGCGTGACGCTTTCCACCATCCGCACGGGTGACCCGGTGTTGACCTGTAGGGAGATCAACACCATGTGACCGATCACAACGGCCACCAACAGAATACCGGTGCGGTCGCGCAATCTAGTCAATCGAGATCTTTCGGAGCAATCCGAAATCTGACAGCATCTTGCCCGCCCCCAGCACGACCGAAGACAGCGGATCTTCCGCCACGACCGCCGGCAGGCCGGTCTCCTCGCTCAACCGTTTGTCGAGGTTCATCAGCAACGAACCGCCCCCGGTCAACACCAGACCACGGTCGACGAGGTCGGACGAGAGTTCCGGAGGCGTGCGTTCGAGCGCAAGCCGCACCGTGTCGATGATGACGTTGACGGTCTCGGCCAGCGCCTCGCGAATCTCCTCGTCCGTGATCGTGATGGTCTTGGGCACCCCCTCGATCAGGTGACGCCCCTTGATCTCCATCACGAGCTGCTCATCGAGTGGAGAGGCCGAACCCACCTTGATCTTGATCGCTTCCGCGGTGCGTTCGCCAATCAAGAGGTTGTATGTCTTCCTGATGTGCTGAATGATTGCCTCGTCCATCTCGTTGCCGGCAACTCGGACCGCGTTGCTGTAGACGATGCCCGCCAGCGAGATCACGGCAATGTCGGTGGTGCCGCCGCCGATGTCCACAATCATGTTGCCCGACGGTTCCGTAATCGGCATGCCGGCGCCGATCGCAGCCGCCATCGCCTCCTCGATCAGATAGACCTCGCTCGCCTTGGCGCGGTAGGCGCTGTCCTTGACCGCGCGCTTCTCCACCTGCGTGATTTCCGCGGGTACGCCGATTATGATGCGCGGGCGCACCCACATGGTGCGGTTGTGCGCCTTCTCGATGAAGTAGGCGAGCATCCTCTCGGTGGTCTCGAAGTCGGCGATGACCCCGTCCTTCATCGGTTGGATGGCGGTTATATTGCCGGGCGTACGCCCCAACATCTCTTTCGCCTCACGCCCGACGGCCTCGACACGCCCGGTGCCCCTGTTGATGGCCACGATCGAGGGTTCATTGACGACGATACCTTTGCCCAGGGCGTACACACACGTATTCGCGGTGCCGAGATCGATCGCCAGGTCGCTCGAGAACAATGAAAACAACGAACGTACGTTCAAGGGATGCAATCCTCCTTGGCGTTCGCGGGCCGAGAGCCGTCGCAGGAATACCGGCCGGCGTGCACGGCGCCGTCTGGCATCCGATGGCGAAATCCTGCACAGCGCCGGGCGAATGCCAGAGGGCTTTCACCACGGGCTGTCGAAAGCGCCGCGGGACTGAACGTCAGAAATGTCCGGTGATGAAGGGTAATCGCAGAGGCAGGAACCGAGCGGCACACGGTGTGGCGCCGCGGCGCCGTCGTGCTGTGCCCCTGTGCCGACATGCTCGGAGTTCTTTCAGTTTCCCTGATCCGTAGCAAGACCGCGCGTGGCGCCGTGCGAGGTGTGGCGTGAGACTGTCACGGCGGGACGAGGAAGCATCTTGGACTTCGACGGCCGGGGCACGACGCCGCCCGGCGGTAGTGCAGCGGAATCAACGCCACGAAACGCTGGCAGCCCGTGGCGCAAGCCCCGCTACATTTGGCCGGCGCCACATCCCGTCGTGCAGCCGTGCTCATCGGTCCCACACTGCCGGTCTCGGTGCGGCGCGTGGTTCCAGCACGGGCTGCTAAATACCGCTCAAATATAGCACATCCGTCGCATCGCACCGCACCAATGGAGCGCATGCTGCAGCGGTGCGGCGGTGTGTGATAGGCGGCGCTCACACGCTGGGCGTCGTGACCCGGCCCCGTTCAGATTCATCCGCCGTTGGACACGACTCCCGCTTGCCGCCGGCAAGTGGCTCGCATAGAATCGAGTGTCGAGCCCGTGACGATCGCCCCGCGGGGGGCGTATTGCGTCGAATCGGGCGCCAGGCGCCGCGGGTCGGCCCGCCGCGCCGCAGGAGCCGCCGAACGGGAGTGAACGAATAATGACGATGCTCGATCGCATGCGCCGGCACAAGACCTGGCTCAAGTGGAGTCTGGCGCTGGTCTGTCTGGCCTTCGTGTTCCTGTATGTCCCCTCGTTCGTGCAGCCGGCGCCCGAGTTGATTGGCGGCAACTCGGACGTGCTGGCCCAGGTCGGCGAACGCGAGATCACGGTCGGTGAATTTCGCATCATCTACCTGCGGCAGCTTCAGAACTATCAGGCGCAGTCCGGCGGCGAGATCACCGCCGAGACGCTGAGAGCGATGGGCATCGACCGGCAACTGCTGCAACAGGTCATAGACGAGCACGCGGCACTGGCGGAAGCCGAGCGGCTCGGCATGACCGTGACCGATGCCGAGGTGCGCGAGCGAATCGTGTCGCTGCCGGCATTCCAGCAGAACGGACAGTTCATCGGCGAACAGGCGTATCTGCAACTGCTGCGGCTCCAGCAGCCGCCGACCGTCCCGGCGGAGTTCGAAGAGAACGTGCGCCAGGGGTTGATGCTCGAGCGCCTGCAGGCGGCGATCACCGACTGGGTCACCGTCAGCGACGACGAACTGCATGACGAGTACGTCAACCGCAACGAGCGCGTCCGGGTGTCCACCATCTCGTTCCGGGCCGACGACTTCCCGTGAAGGCATCGAGGCCACCGACGAGGACGTGGCCGCGCTGTACGAACTGAGCGCGACAGACTACGTCGTACCGGAGAAGCGGCGCCTCCGCTTTGTGCTCATCGACGTGTCGGCGCTGAAAGACTCGTTCAGTCCCACCGACGCCGACGTGCAGGCCTATTACGAAAACAACATGGACCGCTACTCTGAGCCGTCCGTGCTGCACGCGAGCCACATCCTGCTGCGCACCGAGGGAAAAGAGGCAGCCGAGGTCCAGGCGCAGGCCGAAGCGCTCGTTGCCGAAGCCCGCGGGGGCGCAGACTTCGCCGCCCTGGCCATGGAGCATTCCGAGGACGAGGGCACCACGGAGTCTGGCGGCGACCTGGGTCAGATCGCCCGCGGCCAGATGGTGCCCGAGTTCGAGGCCGCGGCATTCGCCCTGGAGCAGGACGAAGTCAGCGACCCCGTGTCCAGCATGTTCGGACTGCATATCATCAAGGCCACCCAGAAAAGCGGTGGCGTCTCGCAGCCGCTCGATACCGTCCGGGACGACATCATCGACACGTTGAAGCAGACGAGTGCGGACGCGCGCGCGTCCGCGCTCGCCCAGGCGATGGCCGCCGAGGTGACGACCCCGGACGAGCTGGACACAGCGGCGCGACGACGCGGCCTCGAGCCGCAGGAGAGCGGATTCGCCGCCCCCGGCGAGCCGATTCTCGGCCTCGGCTTCTCTCCCGAAGTCACCAACGAGGCGTTTCAGATGGCGCCGGGTGACGTGCGCGGGACCCGTTCCCACCCCGACCGGACCGGTGTTCCTGACGGTCACGGACATCCAGGATCCGTACGTGCCGCCGTTGGAGGAAGTCGAGAGCCGCGTGCGCGACGACGTGATCCGCCGCAAGGCATTCGTCGCGGCCCAGGAACGCGCCGCCGAAGTGGCGGCCCTGCTCGCGCCGGCCGAGGAATTCGGGCCGGCGGCGACCGCGGCGGCACTCGAGGTGAGCAGCAGCGACCTGCTGACCCGCGGGACAGCCATTCCCGGCGTCGGACTCAACGCCGCCGTCGAGGCGGTCGCGTTCTCACTGCAGGCCGGTGAGACGAGCGACCCGATCCTGACCGGCAACACCGCCGTCGTGCTGCGCGTCGAAGAGCGGGAGGAGGCCAGCGAGTCGGAGTTCGAGGCGAATCGCGAGACGATTCGCAGCCAGCTCATGGCCGAGCGCCAGAACCGGTTCTTCGCGGCCTATATGGAGAATGCCAAAACCCGCATCCTCATCAATGTCGACATGGCCGCGTTCTCGCAGGCCGTGACGTAGGCGTAGGCACCCCCTGTTTCACGACGGGCGCCGCGACCCGGGCGACCGATCAGGGGGCCAGCGCACCCGGCATCAGCGCCAGCGGCTCGCCGGGACGGAACAGGCGTATCGGCGCCGTGCCCGCCTCCAGCGCGGCCGGCGGCAGCGGAAACCAGCCGAGGCGCGCCGCGGCCTGAGTCAGCGTGAAGCCCTCGTTCAGCAGCTCGAACAGGCTCTTCGGCCGCGGATACACCACCAGTTCGACCTCCTCCTCAGCGTCGATCCCGACCCGTGCCTTGGCCAGCGCGATCGCGGTACCCAGGCCCCCCAGCTCGTCCACCAGTCCGTGCTCCCTGGCCTGCCGTCCGGTCCACACACGGCCCTGCGCCAACTCGTGGATAGCGTCGCGCGTCGTATCCCGCCCGGCGGCCGCCTTGGACAGAAACTGCTCGTAGATGGCGTCGATGTGCTCCTGCATCTTGGCCCTCTCGTCGTCCGAGAACGGTCTCACCGGCGAATAGATGTCCGCGTAGCGACCGTCGCTCACCGATTCGATGGTGACCCCCACCTTCTCGTAGGTGCCGCCGGTGGTAATCTTGCCGGCCACCACCCCTATCGAGCCGGTCAGCGTGCTCGGCTGGGCCACGATGGCATCGGCGCCCATCGCGATGTAGTACCCACCCGACGCCCCGAGATCGGACATCGAAGCGATGACCGGCTTGTCGTTCTGGACCAGCGTCACTTCCCGCCAGATCAGGTCCGAGGCGATGGCCGACCCGCCGGGGCTGTCGATACGCAGCACGATCGCCCGCACGGTATCGTCGTTGCGCGCCGCGCGCAGTGCCGCCACCAGCGTGTCCGCCCCCAGCACCTCGCCGCCCATCAGGTCGACCCCGCCGCTGCCCGAGTTGATCGTGCCCACGGCATAGACCACGGCAATGCGGCGCCCGCGGTTCAGCCCGACCGATTCCAGCGGAATCTGCCGGTAGTCGCGATCGGTGATCACCTGCCAGTCCGCCTCGTCGAACGGCGGCTGCCGCTTGAGTTCGTCCTCGTACACCAGCCCGTCGACCAGACCGGCGGCCAGCGCGTCGTCCGGCAGAAATGGTCCCTCGTCAACCAGACGCACGACGTCCGCTTTCGTCATGCCGCGTCCGCCAGCGATGCCGTCGATGATCTGTTCGTAGAGTTCGCGATTCAGCGACTCGGCCATCTCGCGGTGCGCCGGAGTCATCGTCGTTTCCGTGTAGACGTTGGAGGCCGTCTTGAAGTCGCCGGCGTGCAGCATGTCCGGGTGCGCGCCGATCAGGTCGAGCGCCCCGCGGAAGAACATTTCGTATCTCGCCACCCCGACCAGGTCCAGCGGACTCCCGGGCATCAGAAACACCTGGTCGGCGGCAGACGCGAGGTAGTATTCCTGCGTGCCGCCGTACTCGAGAAACGCGATGATCGGCTTGCCCGACGTCCGGTAGTCCAGCACCGCGTCGCGAATCTCCTGCGTCTTGCCCCAGAACGCCTGCGTCCCGGTGGGCCGCAGCACGACCCCCCGGATACGGTCGTCGACCTTCGCCTTGCGCAAGGCATCGACAACGGACTGCACCGTCGGTCCCCCGCCGCCGAAGGCGGTCAGCAGCGGATTGGCCTGCCGCTCGGTCAGCCCGCCCGGCACCCGCAGGACAAGCACCGAATTCGACGCGACCGCTGGTGCGCGCGACACCATGAAGTACATGGCGGCCATGGCGGTCATCGACGCGACGACCGCCAGCAACAGGAAGATGAGAATGAACCTGACTCCGCGCTGAGTACTCACGGACTGCCTCCTTGGGAATCTGCGCCGGCCGCCGCGCGAGTCGGGGAAAACGCTGTCTGCACCCTGCTTCGAACCGGCGGCCTCGAAGTGTTGGCCCGGACACCGCGCAGTTGGTTATACTGGTGCTTCGGCCATCCGGTCAAGTGGCCGCACACCGCTCACCCTCCACTTGCGGAAGTGGCGGAATTGGCAGACGCGCAGGCCTCAGGAGCCTGTGGGACCTAGTCCCATGGGGGTTCAAGTCCCCCCTTCCGCACCACTGCTTATCGGCGCGTTCCGGTTGACCGACGGGGACGAACATCTCCGGCGCGCCTCCATGCAGTGCACTGGCGCGGACCCACCCCGACGGCGTCCGGCCCGGGCCGACGACAAGTGCAGCGATCCGCCGCCACGACGGCTCACCGGGAGGTGGCCGGTATCGTCGCGAAGGGCACCGCCGGTTCCCGCACCCCCGGATGTCCCGCTGCGATCCGCTGCCGCGACACCAGCGCGGCGGCGTCGAGCGCCAGTTCTTCGTCGGCCCGCCCCGCGTGCAACAGGTTGACCATGGCGTGGTTGCCCTCGTGGCAGGCGTACTCGAACAGGGTCACGTCGGCGGCGGATCGCAACATCGGAATCGCAGCCGTGTAGGACTGCGCGAAGGTCTGCGGATCCTCCACGGTAATGCGGTAGTCGATGGTGTTGGCGTCGAGCAGCGTGAACCGTTCGGTCACGGTCAGCGTCTCGCCCGACCCGCGCGGTCCGGTCGGCGTCACGTGAGACGGCTGGTAGTCGCCGCCGTCGAGCCGGCCGTTGAAGTGGGTGGTCTCCACGACCAGCGTGTCGCCCTCCCAGTAGCCGCGGGCGTCCCCCATCCATTGGCGAATGTCGGCGGCGGCGTGCGGCTGTCCGCCGAGTGGAACGATCCGCGCTTCGTGAATCATCTCCATCATGATCACGAAGTGGTCGGGGGTCTGAAAGATCTGGTAGTTGGCGTTGTAGAGGGTCGGAATCATCGCGGTCGGCAGGGTGCGGGAGATGCACCGCTCCCACGTGTTCCGGTCGAGCCATGAGTCGGCCTCGCCGCGTCCGGCCCGCGCGTTCTCGCGGTCGATCAGACGCTGCACCCCCTGTTCAGCCATGCGGATACGGCCGTCCGGAGGATCGACGATCAATGACTCGCGCTCGATCCTCCCCGCCTGCTCCAGCCACCCGGCGCCGGTCCCCCGGGTGGCCTCGATGACCGCCTGCTGCGCGCGGCGGCTCTGCGCCTGCTCTTCCCGTGTCAGCCGCTCCAGCGGGGTGGTCGTCGAGTTGTTCCAGAGTCCCTGCAGGTCCGGGTGACCCCAGGGTGTGCGCGGAATCTCGGAACCGTCCGCCGCGACCCGCTTCGGCGTCCACTGCCCGAACGCGGGCGGCGCCGACACCAGCACCATCGCGAGCAACGCACCAAATACCGCCAATCTGTCTGTCCTCATCAGCGTCCTCCCGCTACCGGCGACCTGCTACCGATCTCCGGCCGCCGCGCGCTCCTCGGCCCGTGCGCCGCCCAGGATGCCCGGCATCGCATAGTTTCCTTCGTGGCAGGCGTACTCGAAGATCGCCTCCCCGCTCTGGTCCAGGAGCAGCTCGATCGTCCAGGGCCTCTCCCATGTGCCAGGGTCGGACAACGTGATCTCCTGGCGCAGCACGTCCGGCGAGACGCGGGTGAAGCGCTCGGTCAGCACCAGGTTTTCCGACCCGCCACTGTAGCGGCTCCGCGGGTCGTAGTTGCGGGTCTCGACCACCAGGGTATCGCCGTCCCAACGACCGCGCGCACTCCCCGCCCACTGCGGGACCGTCTCGCCCAGATGCGGCCGCCCGTCAAGCGGAATCGTGCGCACGAGATGGCCCATCTCCTGCATGATGGTTACCTGATCGGGAGTCTGGAAGACCTGGATGTAGCTGTTGTAGCCGGACCCGGTGTTGGGCACCGCGAAATGCAGGCAGCGGTCGCCGAGCGTGCGGCTCTCGGGGCCGTCCGACGGTCCGCCGCGCGCCGCGCCGCGCCCGCCGGCCCGGGCCCGAGCTGCCTCGATTTGCGGCGGCCTACGGCCGTTGGGCGGATCGATGATGAGCGAGGTGCGGTTGTCGAGTTGCCGGTCGACCAGCCAGAACGCGTTGTAGTTGCCGGTCACGGCGTCGAAGTCCTGGAACGTCGAGTTCCCCAGCGCCTGCTGGACCAGGCGGTCGCCCAGCAGGTCGCCCGCCTGCTCGGAATCGCGGAACGTGGCGATCTGATTCCTCAGCTCGGCCAGTTCCTCGTCCGTCAGCGTGGCCTTGTCGCCGAACTGCTCCGGCCGCTGCATCGGGGTGGCCCGGTTGTTGGCCCAGACGCCCTGCAGATCCGGATGCCCGAACTCGGTTCGCGGCGCTGTCCAGCCGGCGGGCGTCTCCGTCTGCCCGAACGCCGCACCCGGCGCCAGCGCCGCCACCAGCGCCAGCCCTGCCGCTACGCTCCATCGACCTGTCGTCATCGTCATCAGCGCTTCTCCCAGATCTGCGTTGCCCGCATGAGCCGCCCGGAGGAGGAGGCCGGCGCCGGCCCCTCTGCCCTAGTGGGCGGTGTTCTGCCACCCCAGCCATTGTCCGGGCCACCCGCAGGCCCCTCGTCCACAATGGACGGTGCGTCGACCTTGCGATCCTTGTACTCGGGCCAGGGAATCCAACCAGCCCTGGTCTGGAATCCCCAGCGGCGTATCGGCGCGCCGCGCAGCACGACCGTCACCGGCTTGCGGGCCGCGTCGATTTCGACGCGGTGCAGCCAGCGCGCGGGCCGCATCCGCACCGAGAACGGTGGATGCCAGCGGCGCAGGACCGTGCCGTTCGGCCCCGGGGTGTGTTCCCAGTAGCCGCCCGTGAGCAGGACGGTAAGAAACGGCCATGGGTGATCATGCAGCGAATCGTCGTCGCTGGCGTGAAACCAGTGGATGTACAGACCGAACCAGGGACACACCAGCAGCCGCAGCCGCTCGAGGTACAGCTCCCCCTCGTGCCGGTTGATCTGCTCCCACTGCCAGAACTGGAATCTCTGTTTCGCCATCGGACCGCGATCTCAGCGCCGTGTCCCCGCGACGTCGGTGGTGACGCTGAACAGCGTCTTGCCCGCGGTCACATAGAGCGTCCGCAAATCGGGCCCGCCGAACGCGGCGTTGGTAATGGTGTCTTCCGGAATCGGAATATGCTCGATCAG